AAAACTCTTTCATTGAGGATTTTGTTTGTAGTTTTAATTAGTTACCAGTGGCCGTACTGGCGAATAGCAAATTAGTATCCAAAATGAAATGAGGAAAGATGAAAATTGACCACACGCATAATACTGTTAGGAGATCGCTTGATGTCTAGGGCGACACAGGAGCAAAACAAGTCTTTTGTTGAGGAATTTGTTTATAGTTTTGATCAGCTATCTGTAACCATCCTAGTGAATAGCAAATTAGTACTGAAAATGCATATCCGAGTGAATACCCTCCCGAGTATGGAAGTACTCAACACATAGGGTAACAATAGCTCTAGTAGTCAGTTATAAAACCTTATGAGATACCCAGGGCCCTGAGTATTCGCCTATTTCATTACGATAGCCCAAGTAAAGTACTCAAGTAAAACATACTGAAGGATTTTCTGCATACTTTGGTGAATACCGTCCCAAGTATCAAAGTACTCAACATGTCGAGTAGCAAAGCTTTAGTAGCTAGTTATACAAATTTATGAGTTCTCGAGTACCCGAGTATTCACCTATCTCATGTGATAGTCAGGTGATTTTGCTGTACCCGGGCACTCAGGTATTTCATAAGTCACAGCCCGGCCCGACGACGCTCGCGGTAACGTTACGATGACGACGTCCTCCCGATGAGTGTGTATCGATCTTCGACGTCAACCCTGTGACGCGGGGGATGCTGCACTTGAGCTGTTTCCCCCGAGCCTTGCGCTCTTTCGAAAGTTCCTCGTGATACGCGCGCATATATCCGCACACAATCGAGTTCCTGGGGAAATGCTTGGAACCGAGTTATTGTTAAGCCTGCAAAGGCTCGGGGGAAGAAAGTTTGTGGAATATGGCTGCGAAATAGCTATTTAGTGGCTTGATAGTGGGATTGGATGGCTCGAAGCAATTTTGGGTTTCTTGGTTCATTATTGGTGGAAAGATAAAGATGTTTTTTGAGAAATTTTCTTTTTACATGACTGGAGGATAAATGTAAGTGCTGTTTTGTAAAATTTTCTGTTTTGTAGCTTTTAACAATTATAATATTAGTGCCTTTTTGATCGATCTTTTTTCATAATTAGTGAAAAAGTGTAGAACGTTTCTGATCGATTGTCTGTTTTTATAACTATTGAAAAGATGTAGATGCTTTTTTGAGAAATTTGCTTTTTTTATAATTCTTGAAAAGGTGGGAGGATGTATTTTTAATGAAAATAAAAAAATTGTTTATTTGCGTTGTGGTGTTATAGCGATGTATTATTTTCGTCCATAATTCCTATGAGTTTAGAGTAACGATTTTACAAATCATCACTGTAATGATGTATCTTTAATGTCTCTTATGTCCTATCAGAAGAAGCAAATGTTTTGGAGAATTTCCATCTTTCCTGTAACAAAATCGTCCTAGATCCTAGCAAAGTGCTTCCTTTCGTAAGACACACCGCGACATCCACTAATGGAAGGCCCTTTCGACTCACACCTCACTCATTCCTCACAACGAACTAAATGGTCTGAAAAAGATAAAAATGGTCACATGAAATGATAAGAAAACGACATAAGGAAAGTAAAATACAAAAGAAAGAATACTGATTATTCAAAAAGCTTTTCGAATTAAAAAATACGTCAGACCAGAATGGTTAATTTCTTCAATAACAGCATAATTCCGGTTGTACTTCATTAGCAAGATAAAAATCATGATTAACCTACGTATTCTTACGCAAAATCAATTGTTCCTGAACTAAGTTACACACAATAAAAACTAAATAAAAACTTCCTTCCTCTGTTATTAAGTATATTAATATTCTAATATATTAATGCTAAAGAAATTAATAAATTTATATGTATTTCATATTTCATTGCATTTCTCTTATTCACATTTAATATCAAATCTATTAACTCTAATCTACAGACTATTAAAAATATATTCACAAGTTATTCTAACTCGTTATATCAATTTATCAAATATTCATACAAACAAATTATAAATTATCTCAAGGGAAATAAACAAAATATTTAATATAAATACATTAAAAAATTCACGCTTTAATACTATTTTTCAACTGTGAATTTTTACATAAAACTATCGAAGATATAAAGCGACTACACAAAGTATAATTTCCCTATTCGTCCGAAATAATTCAACATGGCGGCGTCGAGGAACGGCGACAGTATCAGCCGTGTTTCACAAATTTGCCGCCGCGTTCCACGGATGGTTCGAGCATCGACGCAATCGTTATCAACCGTTGCGATAAGAATGTGCGCTTTAATTATCTGGCGTACATAGCGCCGATACGGTGCTCGCTGTTCGCATCAACGAGCAAATGCCAGCTGGAAATTCATAATAATGGCAGCCGACGATTCCCATCCTTGAACTTAAAAACTCCCCGTTAACGAGAACCTATCGGCTCGCGTCGAAATTAACTTCGTTAACCGATATCTTCGTTACCTTGAAATTGTCTTGTTTGTTAACCGGTCGTTAAATTCCGTGAAAATAGTTTTGCAGAAGTGAGATTTTCCAGTTTTTAATGTAAAAATAAGTAATCTCTTATCGTTAATCATTTCCGAAAATATCAGTTGTGACATACAAATCTTAATTTAATAAAAATTGATAAACTTTAAGGTTTAATACGGTAACATGTTATTTTCAAGGATATTCAAATTATTTAAGACCATCTACAATCTATTTTAAAGGTAAAACAATATTAAATTATTGCTCCATTATTCAAATTCGATATCATCTTCAATATTAAATAAAACTGAACAAATATTAATCGCAACTTTCTGAGCAATGAAAAGTAATTGAAAAATCCTATCTTCTTACACGTTCTCAAACAAATGCCACGTTACTCGATTATCGCGTACGTCAACAAGAAACTTTGCTTTAGTTCGATAGGAGTTCGAAGAAATTACTCAGCTCGCTGGAACATAATTGAAATTTCAAGGGAAACGATGATTAACCATTCCGCCAGCAGAGCCTATCGAAAGTGTGTCGCGTGTTCCGAACAATGCGTCATCGACACCGGCAAGGTTAATTAGTTAATTAGCCGAATAAAATTCAAACGCGAGCACATTAGAGCCGTGGTTACGCAACGAACAATGAGTTTCGATTTTCAGTTGTTCATATATTCACACCTTCGATGGAACAGCGGGCGCACGCGGTCTCGTAAACGCGGCTAATTGAAAGATAAAACGTGGATATTCTGCTTACTCGACTTTCACGAGCCTTTTAATTTACCCGAAGCACGTGATCCGCGCGATCGTAAAACTTTAAGCGAATATTAAACGTTAACAAGAAAGTCAGCCATTTAGATCTCGAATATAAAATATCTAACATGTACTTCCTGTCCCAATGTAACGTGGGCTTGAATATCATTCTCGTGGAATGATTGATTTTCTTGAAAACAGAATTTGCGAAGCAAAATTGTCTTTGTTTTGTAATAGATATATTTTGGGTTAATAACAAACTTCTAAGCAGAATGTTGGTATTGATGTCGTTCACAAAAATATGATTTTATTATGGTGCAATGAATGTATAAGAGAACTAATTATTTTGTGTAATATAAGATTCTGGGGAATTTGTTTTCTAAGGGTTGAAATTTAAGGTAGATTTTGACGTTTAAATACAGGAACGTAGAGTGCTGCTGAAATGCAATTCGAAAGCAGATGACTCAGTGGAAAATGAAAGTGCAAAATTAGAAATCTGGGCTATTTTAATTATGCCTCCTTGTATGCTAATATTCTCCAGCATTTTCATACAGGAATACAGCAGAAATCCTATATTAAACTGAAATAAAACTTTTTCGTCTGATGATTGCAAACAGAGAACCAAAAATATGTTCAAAATATTCGTAACAAATATTTAAATTAAACAAATGAATAGTTACCGTTACCTCATTGAATATGTTAACAATTTTCGAATAATCTTAATCATTCTTCGTACGAAAATTACATCTTCGAATATTTCAAACTAGAAATCTGTAATTCTCTTTACAAATTAAAAGACTACGTTTTCAACAATTTTTGTACTAAATAATTTAAATAAATAATCCGCTATTTCGACGTATTTATTTATTACTCTACACCGCATATCTAAAGCAACTTACAAAACTGATAAAATCATTTTTCGAACAATTTCGTACGTTTTTATCGAATAATTTCAGAGATTGCAGAACGAGAATCTTGAAATCCGCCATTTTGACGGGCTCAGTAGCTCTACGCTGGCAGTAACAAAACAAACAGCATTAACTGTAGGATAACGTAATACGTTCCCGTCTCGTTTTTCTATTAGGTCCTGTAATATGAAATGTCAGATTCTACAGAAAAAGGAAACCTTATTTGATGTTCTGAAATATGTTTATTCCATCAAAATATGCTCTATTCGATTCGATACACTTCTGCAATTAATATATTCCTTTTTTCAAAACTTTGTTTTGCAAACAAATATCACCGAAAAAAGACGATGCAAACTGTTACGTACAATTCGGTGGAATGTTTGCAAAAAGTTACATGAAATACAAACGAATAGCAACGACAGAAGTGCAAACATTCACGAGCAAGGAAAATCAGACAATTCATCAGTTAACTGCGATCGATGAACATACACGTCATCATAACCCTTTGCACTCGTATTTTATATTGCAGCTGACAATATAAATGCACTATAAAATGTGAGTGCAAGGGGTTAAAACGCAAAATAGTAAGAACGGTTTCAACGATAAAGTATTTATTTTTCCAGATAAGCATGTAATTCTTGTTCGTTTTGCTTTAGTTTTTCGTTGGAATATATTACAGGTGCGTTTTCCCTGGGTTCGACGAATATACACTGTATTATTTGATTTTATTGCACGCACAATGAGAGATTTTTCAAACTAAATTCCACGGTTGACTGGTTCATATTACACGACCTAATATTTTCATGAAAAATCGCGGGTCCTCCGCGTTGATTTACCGATCCCGGCACTCCGTGGATTTCAGTGGCATGCAAATCAAAGTGGAACATCGCTCACCGTTCGATTTTGTCCATCGTGGTGGGATGCTGCAAGATGGTCTGCTGTCCGGACATTTCGACGACGCATTGTGTACCGAGTTCCAGCTCTGAAACATAAATTGCGTTAGTCCAATCAGCTGGGAACGTTAATGGCAGATGTTCACGGCTATCGCGGAAATTAGAACACGATCGACCGTTTTCTCGCCACTGCGCGAGCTGCGATTACTTCGAACCGCAACCGCAAGTCGATATTGTAATTAAATAATATGATTAATAAAACATCATGATGACTAGAAAATAATTATAATTTCTGAGATAACGGATGTCGAATATAACTGTTCGGTAGTCTAAATAATTAGATAGTGGCGTAAGGTAAAAATTGTTATAACAAATTACTAATAATCTTCCTTTTTATCTTTGCTGAGAAGGTGTAAGTGATACATGAGTCGTTCAGAAGCCAATGCAGTTAAGCCTAGAAAATAATGATCGAGAAAAATAATATTTTAGCTTCTAAAATTATTATACAACATATTTAGAAGCTATAAAAAGAAGGGTTCTCTGACCTAGAAAAAACGAAGGACCAAGTAAATTCTTAAATACCTACAAAGGATATTATTTATTCCATTAAAATTTATAAAAATCAGAAAATATCCAAAAATCAACTTAATCGCATTGGCTTCTGAGCAACTCACATAGAATGCCGAAGTTTTCCGTGGCAAACAAAGTCGAAATTTTTTTTTTGCAGATATATGAGCTATATTTTTAAAAGTGATGTAAGTTCATTTTTTGAGAAAATGAATTAACCTCTTGATCTACAAGGTCGCGTTAGACTCGTGACAAAAATTTTAAACTGCATTTGACAAATTTAAGTGTTATTTGTTTTTTTTTACAACATGGTAGTAATTTAAAGATTAATTACTAGACAAGAAAAATAATTTCAACTGAGTAAGATTTTCTGGATTGAAATTGAGTTAACAACTTATTCGAATAAAAATATAGGAATATATGACAATAATGTAACTGAAACAAGAACGGAAACAGTCGCACAGTAAAAACACCGTGATGGAGATCGAAAAATGAATTAATAGTTCAGAAAAACGATTTCAATCGAGCGGAGGAACGCTCCGAATCGAAACTGCGTGAACAATTTATTTACAAGAAAAATGCGGGATTACTTTATCGGTGAAACTAAATGAAAGTTTAAGTTCTATTAGCCGTCTAATCAGCCAAGGTTATAATCGAACGAAGCGTGTGCAACCTCTCGGTGGACTTTTTCTTTCTAAATTTCATATTTCAAACGGCCATAGCAGCACGCGTAATGAAATCTCTGGTTCATGCATAATGGAACGTATAAACAGAATTTACGAGACGAGCCCGCGGTGTGCCGTCTGTCGTTTATAAATATATACCGTGAGCTTCAGAAAAAAACCTAATTACTGTAACATCATCTATAATCACTTCCGTGATGTTGATTTACAATCTTTGCCTTGATTTCCAGTTCAATAACTGGCTATATGCCTCGCTCTTTTCACTTACGATTAAATACTTCCTCGTGCACCATGGTTATTCTTATTTTTAATTTATAAAATATCTGGTATTACCACGCTGAATATATACAAATTTTCATTTTAAAGAAAAACTGTGGATTATTGTTTGCCCTGGGAACATCTTCCTTAGTTTTAATGAATTTAGAAATTTTGTGAAGAGAAAATCATTAATATTCTTATACGAATTGTGTATAATAGATTAGTGAATAAAATTTGTAATACGAAAGAGGAGAAAATAGGTTATTTGAAAATTTATTGTAGATAAAATCTAATAGACATCTTTGTTTATTTTAAAATAAGTTTGAATGTAATATTTAGAAGTTACATAAAGTCAAAGATATTTTTCTGAATATTTAGAACTATATTAAGTAATTGTAAAACATTTGATATATTTATAATAATAGACCTTATCTCAATTTTGATAAAATAGAGATATAAAATATTCTATTAATAAAATCAAATATTTTATACAACAGGGTCGTGGAAAATGATGAAATTAATTTCCTGCGTAGTTATTTAGTTCCTTTCAGTTTGAATAAGATCCAATCAAGATCCTCGGAATAATCAGAAGCATAATACTGTCTTAATAATAAGATCCCAGATTCTTCACGAATGATTGTATTCTAACGCAACCAACGCGGGTAAAGTTTGATCACGCGTCCTTGTTGACACGCCCGATTCACCACTGAATATGCATTGTGTGCTCAAGGGGATTTATTTAATTATAAGCCCAGAACAAACTGAACAGCGGCTCGGCATTATTCAGGCGGCGCGTTACGAGGAAGCCGACGAATGAATTTTCGATCGACGAAGGTACGCTCGAAATTGACTAGAAAATCAGATATCGTTCTTTAGAAATTCATAATATGGTAATAGCAATCAATTTTCATAATCTTCATACAATAAGAATTATTAATAACAGTGATACTGTTACTTTTCAATTCTGCATTTCCGTCAGATCTGAAAAGTAACAGCTATGGAACCGATATAGAACCGAAAAATAACAATTACGGAACCCGGAATCGGAAAATAATAGTTATAGTACCAAAAAATAACAGATATAAAACCAATGTAGAACCAAAAAATAACAGATATAGAACCAGTATAGAATCGATACCGAATACCAGTTACGACTTCATTTCGGTTCTTCATAACTATTTCAAGAACCGAAACCGATATCATAACTGTCTTCAATCCCTGCTGTAACGCGGGAAAAGTCTCATACGCCACGATTTCCTATAACGCGAATTCATGCAATGTGCAGCGTATTAACTGCGTTATACTGGGGTCTGCTGCACTGAGGACGCAAAAGTCTCATAAAAGAGAGTATATAAACACATTAATCTCCGGTAGTTCCGGTGTTCATAATAAACGAGAAGAGATGAAACTACCGCGACGGGAGTTAAGAAGAAACAAAGGAAGCCGTACGCGTTGTAACGTGTCTCAAGCCGGTCGCGAGACGTAACACTGGTTACATCCACACCCCCGCGTAATCGTATCACACAGCAACCGTTTGCGAGTAAACACACCGGCACGAGTTGTTCAAACAAACCGTCAACCGTGGATCGATCCGATCGATCGCGGAAGCGGCTTCTTTAGAAACTCCCGGGGATGGCTGTATTGGAAAATAGTGTTTATCAAACAGTAATCTATTGACCAGTATTTTCTAGTCCGCAAATGAATTTCACGACTACGTAAAAATATTTCTGTTGAAAAAATATATAATTATAATAATAAATAAATATACTAATACAATAGTGTTATAATAATGTAGTAATATTAATATTAGTAATGTAATAATAGAAAACTATAATAATATTAAAAAGTTATATACAATTATAATGATAAATATACTAATAATACAATAGTCCATAAGAAATTTCTATTGAAGATAGGTATGTATATGCAATAATATTATAAATAGTAATATAATATTAGTAAAATATTGAAAAAGTATTCATAGTTATAATAATAAATATACCAATAATATAATAGTCCGTAATAACTTTCTATTGAAAATAGGTATGTATAATAATGTAATGATATTAAAAAATATTAATGGAATAATATTAAAAGAGTATATATACAATTATAATAACAAAAATATACTAATGATATAATACTTAATAATATTATCGTGTGACATGTCATCGAAAAAATTGATTTTTTAATGTATACAATACGTTATGATAAACGAATTTAGATGGCATTATGGTTAAAATTCTAGTTGAAATTATTCTTGTGATAATATGCACAACGTGTTTCCAGTATAGAATAAAATTGTTTGGTATGTTATCAATCCATGATGGAAATAGAATTCAGAAACACTGTATTAAAATTTCCTCCGCCCTCTCAATCCACCCCTTTCAGGAAAATATCGCAACTTTTATACGCGCTCGACTTTTTCTCTCTCATTCCTTCGACCCGTATCTCGATGGAATTGCAGGTCTTATTTTCATGGAAATACTTTCGCAATAGTAAAATCCATTTCGTTGGAATGGACTGTTGAAAGGGCTGCATCGCTCGATTTTTTTAGTCGGTGAAATGGTTTTTGGACATTTACTGGTATCTTTGATTCATCTTTCATTGCTTCCATGGTTTCCGATAACACCTATATTTTGTTTTATTAGTTCCTTTTTGTTCGGTATTGTTTTATTTCATTTGTCACGTGGGACAAAACTTAACGGCAGGCAAGTTGAGTTGTTACTGTGTTCTATATGGTGTGATAAAGTTGTTATTGTTTATTATTGTATTGATAGCTAGTGATCTTGAATTAACAGTTCTCTCGATAACCGTTTATTTTTACACCGATAATTAACAACTAAGAATATCTTAATCGACAGTAATGACAATTTTTATTTAACACAATATCTCTAATAAATTGCACAAAATATATAAAATCAAAGAAAAACAATACCAATCTCTTAAGTAATTAATATAAAATCTACGAAGTGTACGTATAAAATACACAAAAACTAAAGAAAACGTACAGCAGACATAAGACACTGCAGAGGAACATCGCCAGCATATTTATCCACTACAAAATCCATCAAAATAACATAAAACAGACAAAAATCGGAAGAACCATCAAATAAACATCGTAAAAATCAAAAGAAACAGCACCAACATTTCTGCATATTCATTAAAAAACCCCCAGAATAATTACGTCAAATATGCAAAACCCACAAAGAGCAAAGGAAACGTACGGTAGCCATCGTAGAAATCAATAAAAACGTCGGCAGCCTTTCAGATAACCTAATAGAAAATCAATGAAATATACAAAAACACAGAAAAACCGAGGGAAACCGTGCGGCAAGAACAGCGTGTAGTGATCGATGCGATCCATCCGCGCGAGAGGAGACCGACCGAGAGGGCGAGGGAGCGTGCGAGCATGTAGAGAAGCCACGCATGAGGTCTTATGACAGTCTTACGACAGTCACGAGTCATAACGCTCGTAACATTCAACGTCCGCGCGCATACGTAATCGCGCGAGGCGGTAAATCCATGCTAAGCGACCGTTCGCTCGCCTTAACTTTATTCAAACGCATCGACAACCTGCT